AGAGTTCATTCAATGCGCGTACACAATCAGTGCCGCCGCAGTTTTGAACCGCCAGGCGGCGGTGGGTGCGGTCGTTGCGTTGTGTAATAAATAATTAAAGTTTTTTTAATTATTATTACACTCTTTTTATTAACTGTCTATTGTTGTATCCTCAAATCTTGTAACTCAATTTTTACCCACTTCCCAATGTGGTATCGACTGCAAACTTGGTATGCTTGTGTCATACTGATGACAATACTGTATTCTATCATTAAAATAAAAAATATATTTTTTACAAATTATTTTTAATGTTATTTTTTTGCTTGGGTCTAATTGTCCACGCTCAACTTACGTTGGCTGTAAAGCACCACAGTCCCCTTACGTTGTGGCGAGCTTCGATTCCACTTCCTGGAGTCGTGGAGTTCTTTCAATACTAGTACGGTACATTTTATTAAAGCGTGTTTAAAAAAAGTTTTTTTTAAACATTACTTTTACAGTGTGGTACGCAGCTGTAAAAAGGAGACGTTACTAATGTATTCTGTTTATCACTAACGGCAGACAGCCACAACAGCGCAGTGGCAGGACCCCGGGGAATCTATCGGATTACTCAAATGACACAACTCGATTTTGCTTCGGTTTAAAACCCAATAAGTTAATTATTTCTTAGGCGATCCCCAAGTGTGTGTTCACGTATATTCCTATAATTCAAGTGAGCCATCACACAAGCTGGCCATGTCAGCATGAGAGTGGCACGTGCGATTGATCACAAAGACCAATGAATGATGAGACATTCTGCGTTCAACGTTTGGGAAACTCTCGCCTTGTTACAACAACAACGATGATGATGATGACAAGTTGTCCTGTGGCCTCATGTGCGGCATTGCGTGTGTTCCGCCGCTCTCACCTGGTCTGTCAAAGACAAAGTTCCCCCGTGTAGACTTAACACACTTTAGAGACAAGTGCTACAAGCGAGCACCTATGAAGGCCAGCACGGCACACGAGAGGGTGGGTGTGGCAAGCACCACGCCCGGACGCCTTTGTCTCTCCAGCGACGATGTTTACACACTGCACCAGGAACTCGTTTGAGACTGAGTCGACAGTAAACACAACAACAACTATCAATGACCATCAACAACAACCACCTCAACAGCAACCACCACCAGCAGCACGCGATCAGCAACCACCATCAGCACAAACTACCACAACAGCACTAACAACCACCAGCTATAAACCAAAGCCGCTTTTAATCACCAACAACTGTAATCATTACCAACAACCACTACCAATGTCAACAACCACCACTAACCACAAACAACCATCAATGGTCGCCAACAACAATTACATCTATAACCATCACCACCAACAGATAGCAACCACCGCTACCTATAACGTCAACCACTACCACGAACAATAACAAAACACCAACAACCACCAATAAAACAACCACCATCAACACAACAACCACCACCATCTACCACCAATAAAACAACCACCATCAACACAACAACCACCACTATCTACCACCAATAAAACAACCGAAACTTTCAGCCACCACCAATAAAACAACCACATCCAACACAATGACAACCACCAGTCAACACCAACAACCACTACCAATAAAACAACAACCACAAACCGATAACAGTATCTTTCATCGTCAACTACCACCAACTACAGCAACAACCGCCAATACGACCAACATCACGCATGCACCATCATCGCACGCCTATATAGGGCACCGGTGGGGGTTTCTATCGAATTCAAATCACAGCCGAGCACGAGGTGCACGCGGCAGCGTCTCTGGTTGGATGGCTCGCACGAGCACACGGAACACGAGCCACGTGACCCGGGACTCGGAGAACGAGCCACGTGACCCGGAACTGTGAGAACGAGCCACGTGACCCGGAACTAGGAGAACGGCCCACGTGACTGTTACGTCACCGCGTCGTCACGACAACCAACTCGCGCGCTCACGACGACGGATCTCCAGGCTGTGTCCAGGCAGGCCTCAACTCTGGTCCCGTTCGTGGTTGACGTGCGAATTGATTGGAGAGGCAAAACTTAATTGGTGTTAGAACACAACGGGAGGGATACAACAACATTACCTCGTCACCACTGTTGGAGAGAAGTCCCGTTTTGGAAAGAAAAAGCGGTAAGCGACCCTACTTGTACTACTACTACTACACTGGGCTTGTAGTGAGTGACTCGGGGAAAGAGCCTCCTTGATATTACAGACATAATCATAGCACCTAGAGTAATCATAGCACATAGAATAATCATAGCAGAGTAATCATAGCACGTAGAGTAATCATAGCACATAGAATAATCATAATAGGCTAATAATAGCACGTAGAGTAATCTACAACACGTAGAATAATCATAGTGTATAAATAATAATAGCATGTAGAGCAATCATAGTACGTACAATAATCATAGCACATTAAATCATTATAGGGCGCAAAGTAATCATAGCACATCATAACACGTAGAATAATCATAGCACGTAGAGTATTCATAGCACATAGCATAATCATAGCACATAGAATAATCATCGCTGGTTGGGTGGCGCACAGAGAACGGGGGTCACGTGACCCGCGCTTACGACGACGATCTCGAGGCAGGGCTCACTCTGGTCCCGTTCGTGGTTGACATGCGAACTGATTGGAGAGACAAGCGCGTTGTGACAACGATATGCTGTAATTTGAAGGTGCAACGATTATAAGAGGCGTGACTGCTTTGTCTTGGGTGAGCTGCCTTTGAACAACTGCCAAAGCACCTTATTCAGAGTGTAAGTCCAGCCAAGCACAATCATGATAGAATGTGGGAAATACAAATGCAAAGTTACGGGAAAATTATCGCGATAGTCAATAACATCGTGAAAATTCTCGCATCGTATCGTGAAAAATGCGATCCTGGTAACCTTATAATTAATAACTAAAGTCAGAATCTTTCTTTTTACTGGAGAAATCCGATGAGCTATGAAGCTCTTTTCCACAGATGTTCAGCAGGGGAAAAGTACAGGTAAAGCAAACACTCACCCAAATCATACAAATGAAACTAAACCATCCCCATCCTACCAGGCAAAGCCCACGAAACTATTAACTTATTTTTCAGAAGCGCCATGGCTAGCACAAATGATAGCTCAACAAAGTGGCTCGTCATTTGGACATCGATAGCCGTGGTAACCGGCAGAGAGGCTGGGGAATGTGGAATGTGCGGCACGCCTCACGCTTGCACAGAGGAGGAGTTCAGGGCCGTGAGCATGGAAGCACTCTATCTGCTTCTGCTGCTGTTACTGCTGCTGTTACTCCTGCTGCTCTGCCTGCTGCTATTGCTGCTTCTCCACCTGCTGCTACTGCTCCTGCTGCTGCTCATACTGATGCTGCTGCTGCTCCGCCTGCTGCTGCTGTTACTGCTGCTGCTCCGCCTCCTGCTGCTCCTGCTGCTGCTGCTGTTGCTGCTACTGCTGCTCCGCCTCCTGCTGTTTCTGCTGCTCCACCTGCTGCTGCTGCTACTACTGCTGCTCCTGGTGCTGCTCCTGCTACTGCTGCTGCTGCTCCTGCTGCTGCTCATGCTGATGGTGTTCCTGCTGCTGCTGCTTCTGCTGCTACTTCTGCTGTTGCTGCTCCTGCTGCACGGTTTGGCTGCTGCGAGGCTTGCGTTGCCTCCGAAACGTCGTGTTTTAATTGTTTATTTTATTTTAATTTGTTTTACCTACGTGACTTTACCGAATAAAACCAAAGAGTACATTTCCATTCCTCGCCTTGCTGCCAGTGACGGATTTGGTTTGATGAGGGCGTGCACGCTGCTATTGTTTTGAGTGCCCACCCTCTTTCTAAGATTCATCTCCTTCCCTATACTGGTTTAATACCACCACCACCACGGACCCTTGCCCAATGCCAACGCTCCACTGTTATTTATAACTGGTCGTATCGGTTCTAGTCTTTTTACGTGAACTACGAATCGTGGCGTGAAAATGTAAACACGCCACGTAACTGCATTTGGTGATGTTTTGGCTTTGATTACCAAATTTAGCAATCTTGTTTACCGTAACGCAAGCGTTTTACATCTTTTATGACCATGAAGTTCTACAGGGACTCCTCTATTGAGGAAAATTCGACTTAGAGATACGAACAAACCTGTCTGTACGTCCAGTTTGCCTGTTCGGACCGAAAGTCGCTGCGCAATAGATGGCATTGGTGGCATCTGCAGAACTTGAAGAACCAGTGGCATCTATGTTTATAGGAGATTATACAACTTTTAAAGCCATTCTCTTATTTAGTGTACAGGTCGTACAAAATGTTCGGAACCGACAGGAGTAAGTTGGACTTACGAACAAATCAACTTACGAACACACCTCTGGATTCTGACTCGTTCGTAAGTAGAGGAGCCCCTGTATTTCCAAAATGGCCCACGTTAATGGGTGCCTGCTTCACTGGCACAACGAGTAAAGGTCGAGTCGCTAAACGTGACCCCTTCTCTCGCTCCCCAGGCCATGGCTCCCCAGCGCTCCTCGTGCCTCGTGACCGCAGTGCTGCCAACGCTGCTGCTACTGCTGCTCGTCGCCCGCCCGTGCGAGCCGTGCTTCAAGTGCACGGAAGCCATCGCGGTGCCCCTGAAAGCGCTGCTGAACAGGATGGAGATCGACAGGCCCTTCATTCGCACGAAGACGTACAAGGGCGTGCAGAATATTATCTCCAAGCTGCTGGGAGAACATTCCAAGCGCTTGATCTGTGAGTCACCCTTTTTACTTTCATTTAATTTGCGTCTGCAATAGAGCTGTAAGACACGTATCTGAGAGATGATGGAAATGTATGCTCGAGATAGTGGATGTGTTAAAAATGTAATTTAGTCCAGATCTGTATGTAATGCATGTGTTAGACAGAACAGGAATGTAAGATGTATTCAGATGAGCTGGACGTGAAACAGAATAGAGATGAGAGGTATTCAGAAGACATTGGAGGATAAAGATGCGTTTCAGAATATATGCAATGCCCACCGCAACAATCAGGGACGACTCGAAGACTTATCTTTCAACTCGGCGCGGCTTTCGTGACAACTCCACAACGATTCGTGAATGAGTGGCGTGCATCACCACCATCACTGTGGAGCCTAACACTGAACATTAAACTCCGCACACACCGCCCAGTCACTGCCACCAACTCTCCTCTCCGTCCACGTGGCCTCTCGGCCGTGTGGCTGTCCCCCTGCCCTCCCCCTTCGCCCCAGGAGGCCTCCCCTGTAAACGCCGCCCGCCGCCCGGGCGGCTCATGCAGGAGGTCGTGGGTTCGATCCCGACTCTAACGTCTGCTGTATATTTGGAGTTTGCGTCTCTCTCTCTCTCTCGCTCCCTGTGGCCGCGTGGATTTTTCTCTTTTTACCTCCACGTTGAGAAACGTGCTTCCGAGTATTTGGCTGAGAGAAGTGTCCACGCGATAAGTACACACCGTTGAGCTATCACTTGTGGCCAGGTCCGCTTCTGAAGATAAGCTGCGTAGCTCATTGGGCCTTGCGCAACTTTAAATAAATATAGACAACACGTTCTACTTAATTAAATAGACTTTAAATTTTGATTTAAAGCTTTCGTGACTGCAGTAATTCATATTCTTAGTTTTTTCGGTAAAGTCACGTTGAAGAGAAACAACAAAATAATAAAATATATATAAAACAATAAAAAAATCTCACGACGTTTCGACCATAACTCAAACGGTCGTCTTCAGGTGTGTTGGTTCGCATAAATTTATTTTTAAACGGCGCATTTATTTATTTATAAAAAACGTTAGTGCCACGCACAACGATTTGGCAGTTTACCCAGGACTAGTCCATCTATATTCTGAAAAGAGGAGGGGGGAGACGAAATTATTTTTTATAATGTATGCTGTCTGAAAGCCACTGTAAGCGTGAACAATCAATTAAGACCTGAAATGGTTTATCAAATCTTTCCAATGATTGCTAAGATAGAATCCATCTTCTCGGTTGAAATTGTCTCTGTGCTTGTATATGTGGATAGCCTCATGAACGAATCTCTCATGGAAGCCAAGACAGAGGTTCTTTGTAAGCCATCTGGCTTCCATGAGAGATTCGTTCATGAGGCTATCCACATATACAAGCACAAAGACAATTTCAACCGAGAAGATGGATTCTATCTTAGCAATCATTGGAAAGATTTGATAAACCATTTCAGTTCTTAATTGATTGTTCACGCTTACAGTGGCTTTCAGACAGCATACATTATAAAAAATTTCGTCTCCCCCCTCCTCTTTTCAAAATATAGATGGACTAGTCCTGGGTAAACTGCCAAATCGTTGTGCGTGGCACTAACGTTTTCTATAAATAAATAAATGCGCCGTTTAAAAATAAATTTATGCGAACCAACACACCTGAAGACGGCCGTTTGAGTTATGGTCGAAACGTCGTGATAATTTTTTATTGTTTTATATATATTTTATTATTTTGTTGCTTCTCTTCAACGTGACTTTACCGAAAAAACTAAGAATATAAATAGACTTTAATGAATGTTTTCTCCTACAACATCAGAGTGCAGCGCCACATTAAATACGAACTACAATGACAATAGTTCAAAGCGATTTGAAGCATGTTTTATTTTGGGTGGGGGGGGGGGGCAGAGCTTTGTGACGTCATATTTGGGGGGGGTCTGACTTTTTGAGACGTCGTGTGACGAGGGGGGGTGGGGGGTCAAAAATCGCGTGACGTCATTATGGACGGCCCCTTGCCTTCTCCTCCCCCCCTCCGTTGGTCCTGCCTCTTCTCTCCCCTCGCACCGCCCTCTCGCCTCCACACCACTCCCCCCGTCCCTTCCCCCTGTTGTATTCCTACACTGGCCGTGTCCTCGCGCTAACACCCATCACGCTGCCCCCTGTCGTCTGCACATCCACCGGCCCCCTCTGGCCATTCGCACCCCCCCCCCCCCCAGGGCTTTCCATTCCCCTCTCATCCACCGACTGTCCGCCGGAGATCGTTTAGCTCGGCTCGACCGCTCACGGCCTCGAGTGACCTCGTCCCTCCCCTGCTATTTCCTGCATACAGGATCGGAATATTTATTTATACTGGAGGAATCCGATGAGCTATGAAGCTCTTTTTCACAGATGCACAGTCACCGTGCCCCTACTCCTGCCCTCTGCTGGCTCCACACCCCGGTCTCTTAGATGTTCCATGCGCCGACTCGCTTGGGTGATTACATTTATATATTATGAGAAAATTAGGAGAGATGTTAATTTCGAAGAGAAGAGAGATACAGTCATCAAGAGAGTTATAAGATTATTTACATTTGTAGCGAGGTATGAAAGAACGATAGGAATTAGAGGCAGTACCGTATTTTCCCGCATATAACCCGCGGGGTATACCACTTTTTACAAACAAAACAAGACCCTGCGGGGTATACGGAGGTGCGGGCTATCTGAAATTTGTTTTACACAAAACGTTATTTTTGCGGGGTATATGCGTCTGCGGGGTATATGCGTATGTGGGCTATATGCGGGAAAATACGGTAATTAGAGAAATATAAGACGTAGGTGAGAGGCATTCAATATAAATGCACAGAGGTATAATTACGATGCATTCGTCCTTTGTCTCTTTGCATTTGATTGTCTCATCCGGCGTACATCATGCGTCTCTATCTCTGTGCCTGTATGTACACTTATCTGCGTGTATCCATGTGTCTCTCTCTGTGTCTCTATGAGCCCGTCTCTCTATAACTGTCGCTCAGTGAGTCTCTGTGTGTGTCTGTCTCTCTCTCTCTCTCTGTCTCTATGAGCCCATCTGTGTGTGTGTCTCTCTATAACTGTTTCTGCTTGTGTGTGTCTGTATCTCCATGTCTCTCTCTCTGTCTCTATGAGCCCGTCTCTCTATAACTGTCGTTCAGTGAGTCTCTGTGTGTGTCTGTATCTCCATGTCTCTCTCTCTGTGTCTTTATGAGCCCATTTGTTTGTGTGTCTTTATAACTGTCTCTCTGTCAGTCGCTGTGAGTGTCTGTCTCTCCATGTCTTTCTGTAACTGTCTCTCTGTGAGTCTCTTGTCTTTCTGTCTCCGTGTCTCTCTGTGTCTCTATGAGCCCGTCATTCTGTTTCTCTATAACTGTCTCTCTGTGAGTTCGCGCTCTTTGTCGGCGCGTCTGTGTTGTTCACCGTCTTGTGGATTCTGAAAAGGCTGGCCGTGTTAACTGGAACGCTCTGTGTCCGTGCGTGCGTGTTGTTCACCGTCTTGTAGATTTGTACGAGCAGGTGGAGCAAACCATGGGCTCCAAGTTTGTGGAGATGAACAACAGAATTGGAGACGGTACGTGCGTTCGGACTCGAGGGGCATGTCAGCGGGCTGACTCGCACGCTCTCGGCAGAAGTCGTTTCAGCAGCCTAGCTCAAGAGAACGCAAACAAACCGATACTTTGCTCCACAGTTTTCCAGGATTTTTGGAGAGAAAACAAATCCAACACCTGAATATGTTGTCTAACAAATGAGCAGCGTGATGCCACGGTGTAATGGTTTGTACACTATATAACTTGCAATCTCGTGGTCCCCTGTTAACTCCCTCGCCTGGTATGAAGGAGGTTGTGGGTTCGATCCTGACCCTAACGACTGTATATAATGGTCGCGAAAGCCTACGTGTATATTTGGAGTTCGCATGTCTCTCTCTCTCTCCCCGTAGTCGCATGGATTTTTCTCCGGGTCCTCCGGTTTTTCCCTCCATATTTAGAGACATGCGTTGAGAGTATTTGGCTGCTATACATTTCCACTTGGTAAGCTGCTTCGTTGAGCTATCATTTGTGGCCAGGTCGCTTCTGAAAAATAGCTATTTAGCTCAGTGGGCCTTACCTGGTAAAAAATAGTAAAATAAAAAATATCGTTCTCCGTCATGGCAGTTGAAACATCCGTGCATGTTTCTGAAATATATACCTTGCAATTTGCAATTTCATATTCATGAGCATCTAAATTCAACCAGGCTGTTGTTAGCCAAACGCAGCACCGCAAAAATCCATCGTTGTACTGATCTCCTATGCTCCAATGTCCAGCCCCCACCACTGACTCCAACCCACAACGACCAGCATGGTGAAATAACCGCCATGACGAGTACGGCATGGGGAAACCCTCATCCATCAGTGGATTGAGACAAAAAAGCGATCTACGTGTAGCAATGCAAGAGCATATGAAGACAGTGTACCGAACAAAGGGGTATAATGTGTGTGTGCTAGTGGGTGTATTGACCATTGGCACAGCAGGGAGTACAGCTGGTGCATCTACCAGTCGTCTCAGTCAGCCAGCCCATGGCACCTGGGTCTGTCCCGAGACCTCTTGTCGGCGAGCCTTCGACACTTCACGTGGCCTCAGTGCACCTGGCCTGGCACAGGCGCCCTGGTGACGTCACCGTCACTTAGTGGCGAATGGCGGGTGTTGCTATCGGTGTTGCCCATTGTGTGGGGAGCGGTAGCGTAGCGGATAGCGCACTGCGCTACGAACCCGGCGACCAGAGTTTGATTCTAGCTCACAGCCAACACCAGTGGCGGTTATCTGAACTGGTCCTGGGTCTCCCCTAGGTCGACTCAGCCTCAGATGAGTCGACCTTGGGTGTGTAAACATCGCCACTGGGAAGACAAAGGTGGTCGGGCGTGGTGCCGGCGACACACCATCTGATGTGCCGTGCCGGTCTTCATAGGTGCTACTCGCTAACAGCGCTTGCCCGAACAGTCTGTTAAGGCTATGCGGGGGATCTTTGTCTTTGTTGCCCATTGTCAGATTGATTTGAATATCCAAAAACGGCCCTAGCTATATTTTGCATGATCTTACTCTTTTTTTGACACTTTTAGTTGATAAATACGTAAGTGGAAATGAAATGTTTGTGTCATTTACGGGCCTGTAAAAGAAACCTGCATCGTGTGACGTCACTTTTGTAAGCACAAAGGTACTACGTAATTACCTCAAATCAATGATCTGAAAGTAAAAAACAGATCGTCAATTTGGTTTACAAATCCTAACATCGACAACGTTGAACTCTGAAATATACAGGCCTACTGTATTTGTGTGAGAGAAGAGACGGTCAGCCGTGAGTGTTGCTACTCACGCTAAAGACTGAAAATTGCACGCATATAGTGGGTGTTGTGACGGTTAACTTGAACGAAAAGTTTGACTACATGAAAGTAATCAGGGCCTAGATTGCTACGAATTAAAACAGCATTCAAAGTAATGACGCCGAACATCGTGGATAGCAAATCGGTTGATTTAATACAAATACAGTAATCCCATTAATACATTTGAATACCTCCCCACCCTCCATGACAATGTGGAACGATTCAATGACACAATTGGTGGCGAGATGTTAACTACCTCGCCGGGTATACAGGAGGTCGAGGGTTCGATCCCGACCCTAATGCTTTTATATTTGGAGTTTGCATGTCTCTTCCTGCGGTCGTGCGGATTTTCCCCAGGTCCTCCAGTTTTCCCCTTCACATTTAGAATCAACATCACGCGTTTAGAGTATTCGGCTGCTATAAATGTCCACGTGATACGCCACTTCATTGGGCCATCACTTGTGGTCAGGTCGCTTCTGAAAAAGAGCGACATAGCTCGGTGGGCTTTACCTGGTGAAATAAAACATAGTTTTAGTAGTTTAGTTGAGCATTACAGCAAGACCTGAGTTTGATTCCCAACATGTGCACCTCTCTGCGTGCAGTTTGTTCTACGCCTGTTCTGCATGGGTTTCCGCCCAGATCCCTAATGTCCTCCCATAGCAACAAAAAAAACAATACAGTATTACTGGTATTGGCCAAACACCCGAATGCTGATCAATTATCTGCAAAATAAACAATTTGGATTTCTCAAAGCAAGATCACCCTCTTCCGCAAAGATGTGGCATAACTCTCCGGAAAAGTCTTGACATTGTTGAGGGTTTCCTGGCCCAACAAGAATAATGATTTACAAATATTTATTAAATATTTATTTGATAATTGCAGTCATGTTCGTGGCAACTCGTGGTTTCAAGAGTCACGTGAACCCGTGACTCAATGTAAATCAAAAGGGATACACCATGGGCTCATACACGAGTGATTCGTTGCACGTATCGTGAGCTTAAGACTCAACGGTTAATCATTCCACCCCTGGTATCTAAACACGTGATGTCTGTTGGTCGCACCTTCAATGCTGTCTCGGTTTGTTTATAATGTGCGCTTCGTACAACTCCGTATCAGCATAAACACAAACACTGCCGTGTTTTTTACGTGCTTGATCACTCCTGCCTTGTTAACTATGTATTGGTTTTGTCATTCACAGTTTCCGGTCAGCTGAGTGAAAAACACTATGCCAGTAAGTGTGGGGAAAAACATTGTGCCTGACTGTGGGAAATTTAGTTTTGATTTGTTTTGAGAGATCCGACTGGTTGCTTTTTGCTATGCTTGGGAATATTTCATCTCTCAGTGCGCCGTAGACTCTTGTAATATTTTCACAAAAACTATTTCAAAAGATAACCCCCAAAAGAAAACTAACCACCCAGCTGTTATCAATACCAAAACTCAGAATTATATCATTCTGGAGCAAAACTGAAAAATAAATATATATTGAAGTTCATTTTACTTAATAAAGGTACAATATTTTGGGTAGACATTTAAATATGTCTACCCAAAATATTGTGTGTGCCTCAAAAAGCACAATAGTGGTATAATTGGTTATGAAATTCTCGTAATCCAAGAAATTAGCCTGCCGATGGTGGCCATACATTGCTGTATTCCAGCACTGTGGAGGCAGCGAGGGTTGGTGGACCGCACACAGATGTTACAGAACTCCCTGACTGTGGGCGTCGAGGTGCTGCTATACCCTGGCTTGCCAGGAGAAGGCGCGACAAGAAAAACATGGACTCCACCTTTTCCATCTGTACATTGCATGTGTTGTTAAGCCAACACCATCTGACACAGACAATTAGTAAGGTTTGTCACGTAAACAAAACGTGCCAATTAGTTACTACTTCAGCACACCGGTGTGTTGGAGAGTAAAGGCACAACATTTACAATTTGAGTACGACGTTTCGCTGGTAATTACAACCAGCTTAATCGGGCGATTAATATTTACGTGATTTAACCCCTAAAAAACACGTTTATTATTAATAATTTTCATTAATGCAACAGGATTTGTATGATGAGCCAAATAATGCTGGCAGATCTACAGGATGGCCCAATAGTTAATTTCCCGAAATATAAATACGGAATTAATTTCTCACTAAACTAATTTAGACCACCTTGTACAATAATGTTCATTATTTACCTAAGAAATCCTGACTGAGTCTCAAAACTCCTTGAGGATGTTTTGGCGATGTTAATTTTTTCAGAAATGAGAGTTTGGGATTCATGTGAGAGGACACCAGGGAACTCTACAGCCTGTGATCAGGAGCGAGAAACACACACCTGCCTGGTTCGGAAGGTGTTCTGCAAAATATTTTGAAGGGATGATTGAATGATGTAACAAAATCAATGATTTACAGGGCCAGATTAAGGTTCTTGTAGGCCCTGGGCACTTCTGTTTCGTAGGCCTTCAGTGACAACTTTCTACAGTTGCTACTGCTGCTGCCCCATGTTACTGCTACCGCCGCTGTCACTCCGCTTGTTTCGCACGGTACTTCGTCCAGGTGCTGTACAGACGTCATTACTGATACACGTATTATTTAGGATGTGCCCTAAATTGATGGGAGCGTGCTGCGCGCCACAGATAACATTGACGTGACTTTGCTTCTTTGTACACTGTGCCTATCCTTGCTATACAAATATATCTATTCAAGAAGATATCCTGGTTACATTTTATTTCTTATCATACATACAAACAAAAAACGTGGTAAAAATGTGTCTTCGTAAGCCCTTTAGTTTTTGTAGGCCCTTAAGTATTTGTAGGCACTGGGCACAGTGCCTACTGTACCCACTGTACCGATTGGATAATATGGCCCTGATGATTTATCGTCGAGACACGAATAAGCAAATTGTAACAGGTTGCATGTAACTATAAAGACATTGCTGGCATCCTTTTAATGGCTTGCAATATTTATGACGTTTTGGAAACTGTCGTGATGAATGCAAATGTGGGCCACCTTCACAGAAGTGTGACCAGTTCCTGGAGCTGAAAGCTGTCATCTGTAAAAAAATAAATGCAAGTACAATGGACAGACATGTACAGGGGCAATCATGAAGCAATATTTTAAAAGTCTTTGCACTATACAGTAATACCTTGGATTGCGAGCATGATTCGTTCCGGAAACGTGCTCGTAATCCAAAGCACTCGTATATCAAAGCGAATTTCCCCATAGGAAATAATGGAAACTCCGATGATTCGTTCCACAACCCTAAAAATATCAAGTAAAAATTATTAATGCAAAAAACCTTTTTATATTTTTCTTATTTAAATTTAATATAAAGTAATCAAATGTATTAATTTAATTTAATCGTGGCTGGTGTGAGGGAGACGAGAGAGAGGAGAGGAGGAGGGTTATTGTGTAGGACGACTTTCACTGTCACTAACAGAATCACTGGCATCTGTTGGCTCACTGGAATCTTTTTATTTTTGTGCGACTTTAACAAGGAACCTATCCAATGACACTTGCTTTTGCCTCCTTTTGAGGATTTCATGGGGGGCATTGTTGCAGTACAGTTACTAAAGAACAGTCACTACACTTGGACAAAAATAACAAAAATGCTTTACGCACACACACGTGGTCACAACACTATACTGTAGTAAACACTATAGTACTGTAGTAAACAGTATACACGTGGTCACAACACTATAGTACTGTAGTAAACAGTATACACGTGGTCACAACACTATAGTACTGTAGTAAACAGTATACACGTGGTCACAACACTATAGTACTGTAATAAACAGTATACACGTGGTCACAACACTATAGTACTGTAGTAAACAGTATAAACGTGGTCACAACAATATATAGTACTGTAGTAAACAGTATACACGTGGTCACACCACTATAGTACTGTAGTAAACATTATACACGTGATCACAACACTATAGTACTGTAGTAAACATTACACACGTGGTCACAACACTATAGTACTGTAGTAAACAGTATACACGTGGTCACAACACTATAGTACTGTAGTAAACAGTATACACGTGGTCACAACACTATAGTACTATAGTAAACAGTATACGCTCGCACGGATGTTGACTATACGAGTGAGGCACACCGACTGAGACCGAGCATGGGAGATGATTACCCACAATCCCGCAGCGAGAGAGAGAGAAGAACCATTGTCTCAGTTGTGATCACGTGACGCTCGGCAGACAAAGCGTATACGTACACTACTCGTATTTCAAGACCTCGCTCGTTTATCAAATTAATGTTTATTTAAAGTTTTTGCTCGTCTTGCAAAACACTCGCAGACCAAGTGACTCGCAATCCAAGGTTTTACTGTATTTACAAATTGTTCACTCGTTTTTTTCTCTCTCTCTCTCATGGCAGTCTACTGGAGAGAACTCGTCAAGTTATGGAAGGATTTTCAGGAAGCTTTGAAGAGTAAGTCCTGCCCATTGCACCCTCACACCCAGCGCGACGCAAACATCAATCGTTGTCTTCCTCCTCCTCCCTCCTGCTCACATGAGCAGTGTTGAGAATACCGGTGTCTAACACGTTACCGTGGTGGGGACGAGACTAACCATAGTACGGCATTGTTGATGCTTCACGAACCTGCATCAAGCTAACACCTGTCCCCTCCCACTTGCTCTTGTGCGCGGTACAGATTTGTAACTTTAACTCTTAATGCGTCCATCCATAAGAGGTTTTCGTTTGGTATAGGATCATTATTATTAATACAGCGGTATAATTAGCTGTCGCCTGATGAGGCTAGTTGTAATTACCGGCGAAACGTCGTACTCGAATTGTAGATGTTGTGGGTTTACTCTTCAACACACCGGTTATTGCTGAACTAGTAACTGACACGTTTGTTTACGTGGCAAACCTTACTAATTAGCTGTGTTGGGTGGTGCTGGTGGTGGGAGTAACGACACATTTATATTCACACGATCTAACCCAGAAAACCTCTTATGTATATTGGTCGCGAAAGCCCACATATTAAACTTAATGTATCCATGCTCGCTTCCTTGTGACCCTAATGCAAGTTTGTCAAATCTTTCTTCCTCTGTCCACCGAGCGGTAGGCATGGGGACACACCATAATCAGTCGATCAGCACGTCCAATACGGTGTGGCAAAGTGTGGATATTCCTGTCTCTGGCCACCTTGGAAGAGTAGGCCAAATACTCTGTAGACGGGATCTCTGTACCTCGAGTGGAGGCCCTTTAGCCAGCAGTGGCATGAGCAGGACACTTTCACCCTTACCTGGTTACACTCCCTGCTGTGTGTGGTGGTGATGTATGGGATTTGTGACTGTGTTGTTAAGCAACTAATGCGAATATAATTTAACTAACCGTTACGTTTTGCCCTTTCCTTTTTGTTTTTCAGCTTCGAAGGAACCGTCATGCCCTGTCTGTGGTAAGATTGTGTACACCTGTATATATGTTGAGGCGTAAATGACGACTCGGAGGCAGATCTTCATGTAGGGGCTTGCGCCAGTTGTTTTATTAAGGACTTTTCTTCATTCACGACTCCGTGTACTGCACGCTCACTCATCGCTCCCCCAGGGGAAGGGTACTGGGGATTCCCTAGCATCCGCAGGCTACGCTAGCCTGGTGCCAATTTCCCCCTACCCTGGGTCCCAACTTCCAACTTCACACGTTCCTGGCTCCCCGCAACGACCACACACACGTCACGGGTCCCAACCTAAATATCCCAGGGGGACATGTCACCGTCCCGCCCCCTGTCCATGACGCCACCGTACGTTATCGTATTGGAGGGCGAGCGTGACATGACGTCACTAACTACTACTCTACATATATGTAGGCGATTCTGTAAGACGGTATGGGTGCCGTGACTGCGTCTTTATCACCTTATCACATGAGACAGTATGCATACGTGTGTGCGCATGTGTGCGCGTGTGTGTATGTGTCAGGGGAGCGGTAGCTTAGCGGTTAGCGCACTGCGCTGCGAACCTGGCGACCCGAGTTCGATTCTCGCTCACGGCCAACACCAGTGATGATGATCTGAACCAGTCCTGGGCCTCCCCTAGGTCGACTCCCCCTTGTGTGCCGTGCCGGCCTTCATAGGTGCTCGAACTTTGTATTTGTGTATGTGCGTGTGCGCATGTGTGCATGTGCCCGTGTGCGTGGACAATTTATGAGGCCAAAAAGGTCCGAGCGTTATTCCGGAAATGGGAGCGAGCGCTACCGACTGTCGGCTTCAGCATCACGCTCGTTCAAGCACGTCAACGACGACGTCACCATGCGCTTGATAATGGCGCTTGCCCAACATTCTAACATTGTCATGACAAATGTTTGCCTTTGAATGCAACACTTTCCCCCCGGCTTTTATCCGGAAAACCTGCACCAACTTCACATGTACAGGCTAAACCTGCTGACAATTGACCAAATACAGTTGATCCTCGATTATCCGGCAGCTTCCCACATTATCCGGCAGTCCCGGGCCGATTTGGCAAAACCCCTCCAGAGGCACCGTTTGGCGTGACAAAAAAGGTAGCTATGCTTGATTTCATTGTGAAATATCATATACGGTACATTATACACTACATACATACAACTTAAACAATGAAAATGCTTCATGTGTATTCTCCAGTCTTCGAGATTAGAGTGGTAAGTACGGTACAGTAAATAGTCACTTTTTTTATTAGGATTTTTATTTTAGAGTAGGATATTTATGCAAATGTTATGTAGTAAACAAATTTAAAACGCAAAAGCACATGCACAACACCGAAAAACACAGCGTGCAAAAATAAGCAATTTTAAATAGTGATTTGATTATCCGGCGTTTTTGAAAACCCGGCGCCCCCTGCCCCCCGAAGCCACCGGACAATCGATGATCTACTGTAATATTCTAACTGAATAATATAATGAAGGATTACCTGAAAGTAAAGCCCAATTTTAACGAAGTCGTGGCGTGACGGCAGCACAGCAACGTATCGAGGAGTCAACTCGTGTTGAGCTCTTGAGTGTTCTCAACTCACGTGCAGGCACAGTCTCCAAGTGCGCTTGTTTCCTGCCAAACGGTCTTGCGTGGAATTGGCCAAACATCTAAATGTAGGGCCCTGCTCAACAACAGTTTTGTTTTTAGTCTTATCCTGAACGTAACAGACTGCTTGGAGTCATCACATGTCGCTTATTTCGACCTTAAACTCGCTCACCGTGTTCTAAATGCAATTGCTTGACACACTCGACTGGGCAAGTAAACGTTTATCATTCTTATCGTGTGGGTGTCGCGGCGGTTCGGGCAGTGCCACGAACCCCACTGCCTGAGTTTGATCGCTGGTCATGCGTAACGTCACCGGTGGGTGACATCCAAACCGATCCTGATGCCACGACCGAAACCTAATCCCCCCCACGGTCACCAACTCGCATTGAACGGTGTGACGAGTAAATGGTCAAACCACGTGACCGACATTCCTGCAGGAAATGTACGTGTCTAGTTCGTTGTCCTTCTTCCTGCACCTCCCGATTAGCACGGTTGGCTATGTACGGTGCGAAAGCAGTTCAACATGCGTACAAATTGGTTTCATATTTTTTATCTCTATTTGAGAAATAAAGCGAATAAAGTCAATCAAAAAGGTGATAAATGGAACTTCGTAGCTTTTACATTTGCCCCTACTGAAAATGCACGTGACATCTGGTTCCATCACGTGAACTTTCGTGACCCCAATATTCCCTGCAATCTGCAGACATCAACAGCCTTTTAACTACGTCCATGTGTTTTTTTTTGTCCGCAGAACCCACGTATATATCTGCCCTGCGCTGCGAATCCTGCCAGAAAGAGAATAAGGAAGTCTGCCTGTCTTATTGTGAACGTACGTCATCCTGGAGTTATAACGTCAGGAATGCCTCACTGCGTGCAATTTATATCACTCCTAAAATATGACTCTCGTAAAATCTGTCGCGTTGTCCTTGCAATCCAAGTACGATGAATCGAAGTATTCATTTTATTCATTAACATCGATGCATCGTTCCATGCATGTGCAATGCCTTGAGATGCTCAATTTGCATAACTAGGCAGGGGTAGAGCAACAAGCAGAAACATTGTAGGAACACATTCTTGGTTCTTTCGGTAAAGTCACATTGAAGGGAAACAATAAAATAATATATAAATCAAAAATATTATTGGTTCTTTCGGTAAAGTCACGTAGAAGGGAACACAATCAAATAATAAAAATATAATATACTTTTCTTTATTTATTTTATTTTTCCCTTCTACGTGACTTTACCGAAAGAACCAAGAATATGAATCCCTGCAGTCACGAAAGCTTCAAATCAAAATTGCAGGAACAATGAATTTCGCTCGCACTGTGGTGACGTCAGCGCAGTAACATTTAAAAAAAAAGTGTCACCATGTCATTACTAAGTCTCCATATCAAGCCTACTAAAAAAGACAATACACTTTACAGGCACTTCGTTGTCTTCTGAATTGTTTTCCTGGTGCACTCTGGGCATTATTGTCAGGAGGCAGAGAAACCCTTCAAAAATGTCACAGCAGAGCAACCTCACGAGTGTGAGAATGGCCAAAAAAGATTTGCTCACAACTTCTGCATGGAGCCCTTCAAGCAGCGCTGTCCAGAGTGCTGCTGCCGGCTCGTATCACCCGACGCTTCTGCCTTCTTAAACATTGCTGATGTTTGTGTTTAGTTTGTTGTCCTTCCCCCCCCCCCCCGCCCGCCGTACCTCCGATTAGCACGGTGGCTACGTTACGGTGTGAAAGAAGTTCAACGTAGATACAGCCATTGCACATTGCTGCCAGGAATACGTCTAAATTCACTCTGCTAGGTTTTTACAAAAAGCAATGATGTAAAAATGTTCGAGGATTTTTTTAAAAGTCTCTAAACGTCACTAACTCACCTGCGCGTGTATGCATGTATGTGTTACAGGAAGTGGGGAGCGGTAGTGTAGCGGTTAGCGCGCTGCGCTATGAACCCGGCGACCCGAGTTCTATTCCCGCTCACGGCCAAAACCTGTGACGATTATCTGAACCGGTCCCGGGCCTCCTCTAGATCGACTCAGCCTCAAATGAGTACCTGGTGCGGTGTGTAAACATTGCCACTAGGGAGACGAAGGCGGTCGGGCGTGGTGCTGGCCACCCACCCCCTCGTGTACCGTTACCGGCCTTCATAGGTGCTCGCTAACAGCACTTGCCCTGACAGTCTGTTAAGGCTACACGGGGGACCTTTATCTTTGTCTTTGTGTTACAGGAACTATTTTGGAAAAGCAACGGCGAGCACCTTTGGAGGTTCTGGACGACGTCGATCCCGACGTCATCCCAGAGCCAGACTACGACCCTGAGTTTGAGCCCACGAAGACCAGCGTGATTGCACTGATCGTGATCGTGCCAGCCATGCTATGCTTAATCGTCTTCTGCATCGGTGAGCCTTTAGCTTGTTCCTCCAGATAGCAGAGCCGTTTTTAACAACAAGTAGAGTCCTCTGCAGATCATCGTAGGAGATGTGTATATGTTGAATTTCTTTCACACATTTCCGTAGCCAACAGTGCTAATCGGAGGGGCGGGGTAAAGGACACCAAACTAAACACAACAACGAGCAGTTTCTTAAAGAAATTAGTTTTCAATCTCTTAAGATCTAGAGAGACACAGAGACACGTTTACAAACACTTTGAGAGACACGAAGGACACAGACAGCTATAGACACGGACAGTGTCAGACACGTACAAAGATACACGTGGAAAGATGCAGGCAGAGATTGACCCGGAGAAAAACCCACACATGCACAAATAGATAACTACAGATACTTACATGCATGTGCATTTAGTGGCTCACACTAACCCGTTTACTCCCTTGTCCCCTTTTATGTTCAGTAATGTGCTTCACGCGAAATAAAAAATCAACGTCTGCCCCCGACATGGAAAAGGGATTGGACGCTGCGGAAGAGCAGAACCGACAGGAGCCCGATGTGAAGATGCCTGGGCATCCAACGAAGCCTGCCCGGGATAATCACACCAAAAAAGCCGGCGCGCACAAAGCATCCCGCGATGGACCAAAGAAAGAAAGGCCACGCAAATGAAAGTGCGGGCAGTCCCCCGACTTACGAACGGGTTCCTTATTCCTGAGGCCTGTTCAAAAGTCAAACTGTTCGGGTTCACAAGAAAGACAGATACACACATGCGCGCACACTCACTTTTACACACACACACATATGCTGGAGTTTGCAGGGTTTGTGTGGTGCCACGGCCTCGAAACCACTCTACAAACTCCGCGACCACACACTGAATACACACACACACAGCGCACACACGTAGTGTCCTGGCGTGGGATTGCTTGGCACAACGGGTTTTAATCCGAAGGGTTCCTATGAGGAAAGTCCCACGGTTTCCCGGTGCCAGGGGATTGGCCGACCCTCGCAGGACAAGTTACATCGCGGTGCCCCTGAGTTGGCTTAATAGTGTATGGGCGCAAAAAGATTACCGGGCCAGCCGCGATGAGTCATTCACGACATGTGGGAAGCCGGGGTGGAAAAAGCGAGAAAGGCAGTGTGTATTCGCCACTCATTCGCCACTACGAGGCCGTGTTAGGCAAGGCTTTCTCGTCCTCTTCCCTCCGCCTCTCACAGCGTCCGTGTGACGCCGCGAGTACGGCTACGAGGTACATGGTAGGACACTTGAGTGAGCAGGAGCGCAGACGGCAGTAGGCCTAGGCTTTTCTCGCAAGATACTCCCCCCGGTAGTGCCGACTGGGCAGCTTTAAGGGATTGTGGTTTGCGCCGAGAATAAAAGTTAGCACAGACCGTCGATGGTGTGGTGTCTGCAATTTCTGTGTGGAGCGACTGCGTGTGCAAGCCGAGTCCTCGGTGGCGGTGGGGGAACATGCGGCGAGAGTGAACGCGGGGTGGTGACCGCGGGATAGTCACCATGTCTTGCGCGAGTGAGGTAATCGCTCAGGTGTGAGCGCGCTCGCAGGTAATAACGCGCTCCGCGGCCCCTCTAATAGTGGCAGCTGTGGTGTGCACGGGCGTGTATTTTAACCCCGTGTGGCTCCGAGGCCAGCAGCGCGAGCATCGGGGGCCCCCGTCACTCGCTCAGCGGGTGCCTGGCGGGAGTTGACCGACACGGTGGAGGAAGGAGCGCAACGGGTGGACGTCGTGCCCCACCTGCCCAGTGAGGGTGGCAGGGTGGACGTCAGGGTGGACGTCAGGGTGGACGTCGTGCCCCACCTGCCCGGCGAGGGTGGCAGGGTGGACGTCAGGGTGGACGTCAGGGTGGACGTCAGGGTGGACTTCGCGCCCCACCTGCCCAGCGAGGGTGGCAGGGTGGACGTCAGGGTGGACGTCGCGCCCCACCTGCCCGGCGAGAGTGGCAGGGTTGACTTCAGGGTGGACGTCGCAATCATGTACCTACAATATTTAAATGTACATATAGGACAGTTTTACAAAATATGTTAAAGTTCACCAAAAGGTAAGCATTGTGAAACTCAATACTTTAATAATACTGAAAAGTAAATGAAACATTAAATCCCTGACGTTAACTTGCTTGTCGGAACGGGGACCACCTCCCAATTGCACACAGACACAGACACGCACACAGACACAGACACGCACACAGACACGCACACAGACACAGACACGCACACAACGACGATCCCACGTATCCCCAAAACAGGCTGTTGTGGCAAGTGCTGCTCGCAAACACCGCCGATGAAGGCCGGCACGGCACACGAAGGGAGTGGGTGGTCAGCACCATGCCCGGCTGCCTTTGTCTCCCCCTAGTGGCGGTGTTTACACAGCCCACCAGGTACAGGAACACCTTGCACTTTCGTCTGGTGAGGGACCAGAACATGGACGATTGTAAAAACAGAGAGCCTTTATATTTAGCTTGCACATTTAATTTTGGCCGGCGAGAAACGCACGTGCAAATAACGACGGTAAATATATAACACGTACGTGCGAAACCTAACTAAATAGAAATAAAAGAAACAAAAATAAACGTAAGAATAAGTAAACAATACTTAAATAAATAAACACTATCACCACGCTTGGGGCCCATTATGAATATGTTGTGTGGTGAATGACGACTCGGAGGCAGGTTTCCAAATAAAGTTATAAAAACAATGTAGCAGTGATCTTAGGGGCCGTCCATGAATGATGTCACGCGATTTTGGGTGATTTTTGACCCCCCCTAGCACCACAGTGTTACAAAAAGTCAGACCCCCCCCCTCAAATATGACATCACAAAGCTCTGCCCCCCCCCCACAACTAAAACATGCTTCAAATCGCTTTAAACTTTTGTCATTGTAGTGCGTCTTTAATGTGGCGCTGCACTCTGATGTTGTAGAAAACATTTATTAAAAAGTCTATTTCATTAAGTGGAACGTGTTGTCTATATTTATTTAAAGTTGCGCATTTTTACGTGACGTCACATTTCTAACCCCCCCCCCTCGTCACACATTGTCACAAATGTCTGACCCCCACCCCCCCCAGGTGCGTGACGTCATTTATGGACGGCCCCATACCAGGCGAGGAAGTTAACATCTCCTAGCCACCCCAGCGCCCACACACCACGGATCTTCCTACGTAAAATAGTCGGGCGATAGGCTAAACGAGACCATCCGTGTAACAATTTAAATAGAAACTTAAACTATAACGAACGAGATGGGAGAGACTGCACGTACCCCCGCTGACGTCACGCCTGCGGTTAACTGTCGGCAAATGACGTCATGTTATGCTGCAACGATGACGTCATTGCGCAGATGTTCCCCATCAAGTGGGGCCGGCGCGGGGTGAGTGAAACGCGGGCGACTCCCCCCTCACCCTCACCTCGCGGGTGACTCACCCCTCACCCTCACCTCGCGGGCGACTCACCCCTCACCCTCACCCTCACCTCGCGGGCGACTCACCCCTCACCTCGCGGGCGACTCACCCCTCACCCTCACCTCGCGAGCGACTCACCCCTCACCCTCACCTCGTGGGCGACTCACCACTCACTCACCTCGTGAGCGACTCACCCCTCACCTCGCGAGCGACTCACCCCTCACTCACCTCGCGAGCGACTCACCCCTCACTCACCTCGCCAGCGACTCACCCCTGACTCACCTCGCCAGCGACTCACCCCTCACTCACCTCGCGAGCGACTCGGCACTCACTCACCTCGCCAGCAACTCACCCCTCACCCTCACCTCGCGAGCAACTCACCCCTCACTCACCTCGCGGGCGACTCACCCCTCACCTCGCGAGCGACTCACACCTCACCTCGCGAGCGACTCACCACTCACCCTCACCTCGCGGGCAACTCGCCCTCACCTCGTGAGCGACTCACCCCTCACCCTCACCTCGCGAGCGACTCACCCCTCACTCACCTCGCGGGCGACTCACCCCTCACCTCGCGAGCGACTCACCCCTCACCTCGTGAGCGACTCACCACTCACTCACCTCGCGAGCGACTCACCACTCACTCACCTCGCGAGCGACTCACCCCTCACCCTCACCTCGCGAGCGCGTGCTGTACCGGCCTTCATTTGGCGCTCACGAACAGAACTTGCCCCAACAGTCTACGGGTACAAGGGGGAATCTTTGTCTTTGCAAGTGAGTGCGATTGCTGTGCGCGGGCCCCACCTCGCACATGAACCAGTCGAAGATGCGCGCGGCGAGCGGCAGCGGGAAGGTGGTGAGGAACACGGTGAGGAACCAGGGAGACGCGACCATGGAGGTGTGCACACTGTGCGTGCTCAGGTGTGCATGCAGCTGCGACACAGCCGATCCTGCATGCCCATATACACGATTTAGCTCTCTGAAAGGCTCTTCTGGAACCAACGCAAAACAAAGTCAAGCACGAGTCACACGTCTTCCCGATCCAAATGCGCATGGGGCAATGCTCGTCCACACGAGTGGATACAAGATAGCAATGGAAATTCGGCATTCCTACGACAGGGGCCAGTTTATCCATGGGAAAACTACGACTGACCTCCCACAAAGTGCTACGTGTTTTTCTGAGAGAGGAGAATGACTGGCTGGACCGACCTCTGCCGGGATTACACAATTAGTCCACGCCGTTGAGACCGTCCACCTGTTAATGTAACAGTAATCACATGTTCAGCTTGTAACGCGCCGACGCTCAGTAGTCGCTCGCTCTCGAAGACGGAGAACAATTCGGAGGCGGGAGCAACCACAGAAGAGCGGAAAGGTAGCAACCGCACAGGAAAGCCTGCACCCCCCAAGCTCTGCGGTCCTCTATATATTAAGGTGTTATCGGTCGATTGATGAGTGTTTAGGCTTTCAAGTCCATGCTCAAAACTTTCATCACCTTTGCCTCTATAAGGCCGCAACGTCTTCACTCGCATCTCACCACACCATCGTCATCCCCTTTCCCTCTCTGCCCCGCAGCTTCCCACCAGCTCTCCTTCCCCTCCGATGAGAATCGTTTTTTTCCTTCCGAATTAATATTTAACGTTTAATAACAATAATAAATCAAATGCATATCACGCCTTCCATCAAAGCGCCATTCCGCGGTGACGTACAATGCCTCTTCCACAACACCATCGCACTGCACTTGAGACAACATTGTCGCATTCGACCGCCAAACTTCTCAGAGGCGACCGTTTGTGTTATGGTCGAAACGTCGTGAGAATTTTAATTGTTTTATATATTTTATTATTTTATTGTTTCCCTTCAACGTGACTTTACCGAAAGAGCTAAGAATATGAATAAACTTTATTTGATCTTTCGGTAAAGTCACGTTGAAAGGAAACAATAAAATAAAATATATATAAAACAATAAAATTATCACGACGTTTCGACTGCAACACAAGCAGTCATCATCAGGTGATGATGATGACTGCAGTCACGAAAGCTTTAAATCAAAATTTAAGACTTTATTTGTTTAACAATCGTATGCAGTCCATGCACAGAACAGTTCATAACCCATCTGTGCAAACCCACAGCCATATTTATTTTTGATATACAATCACACCTCGGTATACGACCGCTTTGGACTACGTCGAATTTGGTACACGTCGTGTTTTGACGAGAAAAAAATGTCTTGGGGTACGACGTCTGGCTTGGGATACGACACGCTTGCTAGAACTTGTATGGGTTGGGATGAGTCGCCGCGTACCCGCGTGGACCCCGTTCACGACTCCTCCCCTTCCTCACCACCATCCTCGTAGGCTGTCAACTCCTCTCAGCAAGGTAAAGTGACGTTACATTTCATTTTTATTTCAATATATTTCAACTTATTTATGCATTTGGAATTTATACTCTGTAGGCTGTCAACTCCTCTCAGCAAGGTAAAGTGACGTTACATTTCATTTTTATTTCAATATATTTCAACTTATTTATGCATTTGGAATTTATACTCTGGAACGGATTATTTCCTTTCCCGTTATTTCTTGTGGGAAAAATTCGTTTGGTAGACGTCACTTTCGGTACAAGTCCTCCTACCTTCTGGAACGAATTAACGAACGTATACCGAGGTACCACTGCATAAGCATTTGTTGTCGCCATTAACAAACCCAGAATACAGTGGGAATTGCAAAAACAAGAGACGACGTAGAACAAGCTCAACGTAACGCACCCTTCAACATGAGAGAACGATCGAGAGCGTTCGAGCTCGCCACCCTAACGAGGTAGGGGTAACGATCGGGAGCAGTGCATTCCGATGTGAATCTTTTAAGAACCCTCCTCTTTTTCAAGCCCCATTGATACGTCCACGTCCTGTATTTGTACACTGCCTTGAGATGCAGTCACATTTAATACCCTTCACTAGTACAAACGGTATCCTACTGTACAATATCTACAGGCCCAGGCAGTCTGTCTCCCCCTTAATCCCTTGCTGTCCATGTTATGGTTACAAACTGTGAATTAATTGACGTGGTTTAAAGTCATCGGAAAGAACGAATTTAATAGAGTTATACAACCGTATGAAGAAAAAATGTGAGGTTTTTTCCTCCAGTTGATCCTAATGGGCTTAATGATATGCGGCCGGTTTCAGCGAGTGTAATGAGCTTGAATTCTCTTTGGATGGAGGTTTCAGCGAGTGTAATGAGCTTGAATTATCTTTGGATGGAGGTTTCAGCAAGTGTAATGAGCTTGAATTCACTTTGGATGGAGGTTTCAGCGAGTGTAATGAGCTTGAATTCACTTTGGATGGAGGTTTCAGCGAGTGTAATGAGCTTGAATTCACTTTGGATGGAGGTTTCAGCGAGTGTAATGAGCGTGAATTCACTTTGGATGGAGGTTTCAGCGAGTGTAATGAGCTTGAATTAACTTTGGATGGATTATCGAAAATTATTCTCCAATGCCCTTTCTGCCCTTCTAATGGATCCGTCCGTTTGGGTATGAAAATACACTCGGGGTTATTTGTTTATTTATACACGGGCAAACAGACCACTGCAACACCAAAGTGTGTGTTGCAGGGGAGACCAGCCAGTGTAAAAACACATCGTGTCAGTAACATAAGATGTACAACATTAACACAAAAAAGTTAACTACCGAGCGTACAAATGAACAATAATTATCTACAGTCCCCTGGATGACGGCCTCCCAAGACCATGATGATCATGGGGGCTGCTTGACCATACTTCACCACCTTGATCAGTGAGGGTTGGTGAAGGCAAGGGACCCAGCATCGGTTCAGGTGCCAATGGCCACCGATGTTAGCTGTGGCCAGGAATCCAACTCACAAGTCGCCGAGTTTGTAACAAAACGTCGTACAAATAATGATTACACACAACACCAAGCTGATACATCACCGAAAACAAATTACATAACGCAGTTAAACACGAAAGCACATTAACCATGTGCAAGGAGGCAATACAGTTAGTCGACTGGCAGGTCTTGTATGGTGGGGTAAAGTGCGGGTACTTGCACCTCTTCCCAGATATCTGGCCAACGTGGAAGAGAAGGCCAAAAAAAACCTTCCAGAGGGGCTCTTTCGCGCTCCCTGCTAGCAGTGGCGCGATCGAGCACTTGCAGGGCTGCACCTAAATGGGAGCAATGCGCCAGTTGCTGGCGGTGCAACGGAGCATCCCAGGGTCCCCTCGCACGCCCGAGGCCCTCACCTGCATGAGGCTCTCGATCTGGTACATGCACAGCCCCAGCTCGGCCATGCTGGGCTTGAAGAGCTCACGCAGGCGGTAGTCGTGCATGAGGCGGATGAACACGCAGAAAGCCTCCTCCTCCTCCGGCATCTATGGGGGCGACGAGTGTGGGATGCGGAGGACGCGGGGGAATGTGGACAGGGAGACAGAGGGACGCAGGGACACGGGGACAGTGGGACAGGGGACACCAGTTCACACAGACATCAGGCAAGCACAATGTATATGTAGAGAAATAAAACAAACTTTAATTAATCGCTCTGCAAAATATATTCTATGTATACAATTACCCACGTCTCACAGCGATGCACGAAATTTAAATCTGTTGTGTTACGTAGCCAACGCGGTCCAGAATGCCGCTGACCAGACCTCAGGCCCTGACCCACAGACGAGACCACCTCTCACCCTAACTTCCGTTAAACTCCACTGGCTCCCAATCCAATCCCACATCATCAATTACGATCACCCTTTGTGAATAAATCTCCCGGGATCATGGGCACTTATGACAATGTGGGAGAAAACACCAGCCTTTCTGCCGGGGGGCGAGGGGACACATTGCCACGGAGCTCAACGCTCACACCCCCCCACGTCATCCTCCTCACCAACAGGCCTCGTCAACTGTTAAGGTAAATGGTCATCAGTGTGTGCACCTGCAGACTGGCAACAGGCCACGGGCTGGGTCCTTGGGTTGCATTGGAAGTTGAGCTGCACATGTAACCAATTATCTGGTGATGATGCCCACTGCCTTGCCAGTGGTGCACAAGCGCAAATAGGACTCGGGCCTTCGAGCATTATGCAGCAAAACAAAACTATCAGCGGTTCCTGAAAAACTGAAAATGTGGTCCTCTTGTCTGAAAACTTGGGCAAATGTGACCAACTGACAGCAGCAGCAGAAGTGACGATGCGGTGAAGGACAACTGTGGACCAAATTTTGATTTAAAGCTTTCGTGACTGCAGTAATTCATATTCTTAGTTTTTTCGGTAAAGTCACGTTGAAGGGAAACAACAAAATAATAAAATATATATAAAACAATAAAAAAATTCTCACGACGTTTCGACCATAACTCAAACGGTCGTCTTCAGGTGTGTTGGTTTTATAGCGCCACGCGCTAACGTTTTTATAAATAAATAAATGCGCCGTTTAAAAATAAATTTATGCAAACCAACACACATGAAGACGACCGTTTGAGTTATGGTCGAAACGTCGTGAGAATTTTTTATTGTTTTATATATATATTTTATTATTTTGTTGTTTCCCTTCAACGTGACTTTACCGAAAAAACTTAGAATATAACTGTGGACCAGTTTCTGTAGAGCAATGGTTCTTAGCCTTGACTGCAGCTGTGCACCCCTTTGGTTCTCAAGAGTAAAAATTTTTTTTATATGTTAATAAATACATAGGTTTCATGAAACAGTTGTACTGACGTGCCCATGCTGAATTTGTGTTTCGATGATTTGCCTTCCCCCAAAAATCTGGCCAACTCTCACACCCCCCAGGGGGGTGCGTGCACCCCACGTTAAGAACCGCTGCTGTAGACCCATGGACGACTGCAGACGGTGGGGGACTACTTCAGATTGACAACTGCGCTCTCCTTGCCGTAAAATTCCTTGCTTGTTAAACACGAGGCAGGCGATGTTGACCCCAAATTGTCGTCAATGAGGGAGCAGGGGATTTACAACACGCACGTCGCCGTGCACCCAACTCATCAATGATGACGGATTATATCGCTCACGATAAATGCATCTAATTGCGCGGGATGGCAATTGGTCGTATGCAATGTATGCAAATGTTACGCATTGCCAGGTCCATCCACAAGCACCCATACCGAATCGCGTCGGCCGCGCCGTGCGTTGCAAGCGGTTCGCGCGCCGGCGCGTATGTACATGCGGGGATTTCACCTGCATCAAGAGAAGTCCGACAATGAAGGCGCTGCCTTGGCAATATCCGACCTCGCGGTCCACCAGTGAATACGCCTACACGGCACGCACGCACAGCAACACTCATTTGAACTGCGGGGAGTGGAGGTCGTTAACAATGGCACCGTGCGTTTCATGCGCGCCGAGACAGCACGAAAGGGGCAAAGGCGAACGTGCGGCCAGATACGGCGTGAAAACACAGCCACCGCTTGCCATTAAGCAGTAGCGATGTCGTCGCATTGCCTGTGCCAGGCTGGGTGCACTTTGAGGCCGTGATGCCAAGTGATGAAGGCTCGCATGCTGGCAAGAGGTCACGGGACACACCCAGGTGCCATGGGTTAACCGATTGAGATGACTATAAGATGCACCAGCTGTGCTCCCCACTGTGCCAACTTGGCACAGCACATAGACACACACATACCCTCTACTCATAACCAAGTGACAGACCATTGAAACAAGTCTATTTTGCAGCAAGACTCCGGAATTACAGCATATAATTTATCGTGAACGTTGGTCCCGTGAGAATTTAATTACACGATGTCCTTTATTTGATTTAGAGGTCATCAAGCTCTATTAGTTGGACGTCTAAAAATTTGGTAAGAGATACAATAACTAATCAATTTTAAGTTGCTCTCAACTTAATTTGCACGTTGCTCTGCTCGTTAGCATCGCTCTTCCACCTCAAGTTGTTATGGGAAGGCTGCCAACGCTACCTACCCAGCAGCGACACTCGCAAGCCCTCCCCTACCTCCCTCTCCTTCCTCCCCCCCATCCAGAGGCTGCCCTGGCACTGCCAGCTACTTCTTGCGGCGATCGTGAACTGCCCCACATCATCCTGTTGCACTGTGCCCATCGTAGTACGGGTGCCTCGTTGAGAATTTGTATTCATTGCTGTTGCTCACATATTTGCTCTCGGGAAGCTGTGAACATTAGGATATGTGTACATGATGGTTAGCGTGTAGGAGGCAATGGCGCCATATTATTGGTTCATTCATTCTTGAAAGTGAATTCGATATTCATTTTATCCATATAAATATACGTACAAAAAATTCACACCTACATCCGAATTGTGAAAACGGTTTCATATCATGGAGCAGAGCAGTCTGCTGAAGGTGATGTCGCAGAACTGCTAACAATAAATTGCCAGGCAACATCTTATCCACACAAGGAGGCGGCACTGTCCCAGCCGCCCTGATCTAAAAATAAATGTCCATCAATATTTTAGCTAAAGTGAACACATTTTTAAACGGGTTTTTTGTGCAGTTGATTGGTAACCAGGCTGCGCCCATAGACTCGCTGCACTTGACAACCTAGTTTAATCACAGGCGGCTGCCTGGATTCAAATCCAGGTTCTCAGCGGTGCCAGCTGTGTGCACACTGAGCTCTGAGCCACTTGGCCCCCTCCAAGGTTTTGATTTTAATGACGATTTATTTGCACTTTTGACCATTTCCCTTGTAAAAACGTTTTCGTTATCGCGTTGTAGTCGGACATTCCATCACGGCCGCATGTCACCGCATCGTAAATGCGGGGTCTCAGTGGTGCTGGCTCAGTGCGACCACACAATCATCCCGCAAGTTACCCGGCCACCTCGGCCTCGCGTGTGCCAGTGTATGCGGTCCCTCGTGTAGTGCTTAGTGCGCTGTGCTACGAAACCTGCAGCCCGAGTTCGATTCCCGCTCACGGCCAACACCAGTGACGATTACCTAAACCGGTCCTGGGCCTCACCTAGGTCGACTCAGCCTCAAATAAATAACTGGTGCGGTGTGTAAACATCGCCATTAGGGTGACAAAGGCGGCTGGGCGTGGTGCTGGCCACCCACCTCCTCGTGTGCCGTGCTGACCTTCATAGATGCTCGCTAACAGCACTTGCCGCAACAGTATGCTCAAGCTATACGGGGATCTTTATCTTTGTTTGCGATCCCTAGTGTAGCAGTTAGCGCTCTGCGTTATGAACCCGGTAGCCCGAATTTGATTCCCGCTCACGCCTAACACCAGTGACGATTATTTGAACCGGTCCTGGGCCTCCCCTAGGTCGACTCAGGCCTCAAATTAGTAACTGGTGCGGTTTGCAAATATCGTTGCTGGGGTGACAAAGGCGGCTGGGCGTGGTGCTGGCCACTCACCCCCTCGTTCGCCATGTCGGCCTTCATAGGTTCTATTCGCTAACAGCACTTGCCCCAACAGTCTGTTAAGGCTACACGGGGTATCTTGGCTCCCTCCTTCCTGTGCCCACCCCCCACTCCCGCGGGCACCTTCATGACGTTGAAGAGCCCCTCCTGGCCGGGCCCGTCCGGCTGTCGGAACAGCACGTGCTCTGGGTAGGTCCGTGCCAAGTCTCGCCGGATCAGCTTTTCCGACGGAGAAGCCATCTTCAGGAGCTCACTGTACTGATCTGTTGAACACACGTGACATGAAAATACACATTCTGCACGTACTGCATACTAAGCACGGGTGATGGACTTGCTAGCGTGCCTCTGTGCTAACAATCGTGACGTTACCCGATGCCAAGTGTCGTTACTCTCGGTGGAGGTGACGTCATCTCCAGTGAAGTCATTTGGATAGGCCAATTAGATGAATATATCAGGAGCCAATTTTTCAGGCTGATCCCAAAATCAGAAGAACATATCTACCGAACATTGAACACGCACCTACAGGTTTGGCTGTGAACGAGCATTCTCAAGTTTATTAATAATTATTGTGTCAATATCAGTGTCTCCGTGCTTGATTGGAGCAATCGCCTGGCACTCCCATCCCCCAGTGGTGATCCTGAGCGAGTGGTGGGAACTCCCAGAACGGAAGTCTCGTGATCTAAAATGAAATGCTACCTGCCCAGACAAGGCTTTTGTAGTGTGAAGTATGGAACTATGGAAACTACAATACCAACTTCCTGTGCCAGGCCAGGTGCACTGAGGACTAACACCAGGTCACGGGACAGACCCAGGTGCTATGGGTTGACTGACTGAGATGACTGGCAGATGCACCCAGCTGTGCCCCCTACTGTGCCAATTTGCTCCATTTTAGTCGCTGGGCGCTCTGCTCGTTATTGTGAGAATTGCTACTCTGCCCTCCATTGTCGTTGGAGGGCGACTGCTACCAGCTGCTCAGTAGCAGCATACTCTTTGGTTTTTATTCGGTAAAGTCATGTAGGTAAAATAAAATAACATAAAAGAAAACAAATTAAACAAAACAATTGAATCACGTTTCGGAGGCAACACAAGCTTCCGTCTTCAGGTGGAATAGGCACAGCAGAATATCTGTGTCAAGTGCACAGCTCTGAGACAATCGGGTTTATATATAGGTTAAGGGGGGCAGGAGGAGACAGAAAGGAACGTGGGTGGGTGGGAGGGCTGAGTTAAGCCGTTTTTGAAAACGAAAGAAGCAGCTAAAGTTTGGCATACCACCACTGAAAATTGCTGTACAATTAAAAGGTAGCTAACGTTTGACTTGATTTATAACATCTTTCCAATGGTTGCTTAATTTGAAACCATCCTCTCGGTTAAGTTGTGTCTGTGTTTGTATATCTGGATGGCCTCGTGGACAAATCTCTGGTAATAACCGGGAGGTTTGCAGAGTACCTTGGTATCGGAGAAAACAATATGAAAACAATATCATATTGTTTTCTCCAATACCAAGGTACTCTGCAAACCTCCCGGTTATTACCAGAGTTTTGTCCCCAGATAAAGACATCTCAAAAGGGTAAAAAAAATAGATTTTTCTACTCAGTGACATGCACAGGCCATGATCCTGCTCATGACACTTGGGGAAATTGAATCCGGCCCAGGGTTTCGCTTGGTCCAGGTTTCAAGTTTCATTTATTAGGTATAGAGCCCTGTGAGCCATGCGGCTCTTGAGCAGGGTGCAACCGCAACAAACGAAATATGAACAGAGAACCATCTTAAAGCGACGACGCGCAATGGCAACTGCAATCAGTTTATTCTGGGGATCGGAAAATAAGCGGAAGCTGTTTATTTACCGTTATAACCCCACGACCTGCTGCTGACACAGTTCAGAATGATTTAAACGCTCTGTATTTAAACATTTGCAAAAAACAAACGTATTTCTGGGGATTTTTTTCCCTATTCCGTTCCGATGACGTACGTGTAGGTACCTGCACGAATCACAAGAAAAACTAAAATAACCATTGGTACCGAGGCTCCCCAACAAGGCCATGCGGGAGTGCGTGTGGCACAGATTGGCACCAGCTATCATCAGAGTGCAGTCGTGTTGCGACAGTTCTCAGTGGCGAGTACAATGTCTTGAAATAAAATTCATGCTAACTTATTAAGTGTTTAACACGTAGGCTTTCTGGCGAATTGCCCGATGATGCTGGATGTAATTACCAGCGAAACTTCGTACTCAAAAATTGTAAATGTTGTGGATTCACTCTTCAACACACCGGTGGGCTAAAGTAGTGAACTATTTGTCTTTTGTCAACGTGAATTTTTTTTGCTGATTGGCCGTGTCGGGTGGTGGAGGGTTACGACACATTTATAAACAACGCGATCTAACCCAAAAACGTTTATTATGAATGATTAAGTGTTCAGAGGTTCAGCGGTGAACGGGGCCCCACCATGCAACTTGTCGACATCTCGGAACGGGAAAGGGATAATTTGGAATTTAATCTAAAACCCAAAGCACAATCACCCATTCCTGCAATATATACGTCGCAGCATCTCCAAGGTCCACTTTACACTGCATAATTTACGAGTTGCCTGTTGTAACATAACCACCAACTCCCTTGCAGACTGGCGCAGTGGTGAACGTGCCGACGACTGGTGTCCCTCAGCTGCCGAGAGACACCTTCCGAGGTTGGGAAATGGTGCCAATGAACAGGGAGGATTTTACCCTTTTCAGCGACATTTTGGGCATCGCACAGGAGCTGCCAGACGATTCCTCTGAAATGTTGCGGAATTCCTTCCCGGACAAGATCCTACATGAATCACACACATACATGGATACACACACACTTCAAATTTACTCAGAGACATAACCACACGCATACGCACAAACGAAACAAAGTTCAAATATTAACTAAATTTGTTTTATTTTACCAGGTAAGGTCCACTGAGCTAAATAGCTCTTTTTCAGAAGCGACCTGCCTATCACAAATGATAGCTCAACGAAGCGACTTACCATGTAGAAATTTACAGCAGACAAATACTCTTAACGCACGTATCAAAATATGGAGGACCCAGAGAAAAATCCACGCGACCACAGGGAGAGAGACATGCAAACTGCAAATAGACAGGCGTCAGGGTCAGGATTGAACCCACGACCTCCTGCATACCAGGCGAAGGAGTAAACATCTCACCACCATGGCGCCCACACTGGCAAATATACATGACAATTACGGACACACACAAAATGACACGCTCATAAGGACACACAAACGCACGTGTATACGTGCACGTAGACACAAAATTTCTACAAGAACACAGGGGAGTGGAGGGAGGGGACGGAGGGGCACCTTGACACGCTGATCCTTGTGGCAGCGCGACTCCTGCCACTCGGACACGAGGCCGCCCCACACGGCCCACAGCTCCTCCTCGCTGGGCCGCGCCGCCTCGCCGGGCCCCGTCGGGCCACTCGATACCGCCTGCAGCAGCCTGCCCACACCGGCACACCACGAATTATCACAGCACAAAACAAACCACCACGGTACACACGCGCTACACCACAGACACGTGGCACACCGCAGAACGCTATGGAATACCACAGAACACCACGGTGCACCACGGCACACGCAGCTTTTTATCGACCCCAGTCAAGCAATGGGGGTTCTTTGTTGCGCTTTTTGTTTTGGTGCCACGACCAACTGGCCGAGCGACACGCGTGCCCGGTGAACGCGGGTGGACGGACACGCGCCGCCGCCGTGCACCCCCCACCCCCCCCTACTTGTTCTGTTCCTCCAGCTTGGAGAGGAGCTCCTCGTCCTCGGCGGAGAGCGCCCCCCCCCTCGCCGCTGCTGCGCCGTTACGCTCGCTCCCGTGCGGTCGGGGCCCGGCATGCGGCGCCGAGGGGACCGAGGGGGTCGCCCCGGTCGCCGTCACCGTCTGCGTCACCGTCTGCCTCACCCATGAGAGCGTGGCAGACAGCTTGTCCGTCACCTTGTCTGCCGCCACCTGGACACACACAGACAGAGACAAAGATCCCCCCCTCCGTATAGCCTTAACACACTGATGGGGCAAGTGCTGTTAGCGAGCACCTATGAAGGCCGGCACGGCACACGAGGTGGTGGGTGACCGGCACCACACCTGGCCGCCATTGTCTCCCAAGTGGCAATGTTTACTACACACCGCACCAGGTACCAATTTGAGGCCGAGTCGATCTAGGGGAGGCCCAGGACAGATTCAGATAATCGTCGCCGGTGTTGGCCATGAGCAAAAATCTAACTTGAGTCGGCGGGTTCGTAGCATAGTGCACCAATCGCTACACTATCACCCCCCACCTGGGCAGGCGCGCAGAGAGGATGGTCAGCTCGTTTAATATTGTATTCGTTAACAAATGTTTCTCACACTTATATCCTAACAAGACGGTGGCACCAACAACACAGCCGCTCATGAAGCTTCCAGCACGAGTGAGATCAAGTTAAGTCAGGCTGGGCCCTCCCCAACCCAGCCAGTTTACATCGGGTGCAATGCCCCACTTTGTCCACACAGGGGGGGTCCACTCCACTCATTGCGATGGGCATGGCCAAGCGATTCATGCATGTTTTTTTAACTATGTCAAAGGCCAAAGATCAAAGATAGCTCATCATTACTATAATGGTTATCTGGCTTAACCACTATAATGTGAAATTGTAGTTTCTCTGCATCTACGTCAGCCAAGAAAAAGATTAATATTATACACGCCTGGATCGTTCCTTTAAAAACAAGCCACCGGTCAACGTTGTAGGAAGGAAATCACTCAAGAGCTATAACCGACTGTCGTATAAATGACGTTTTTTTACACGTCTCGTGCTATGTTAGAGATGAAATGAGACTCGCAGGGGAGCAGTATAATATCACACGTTTAGAGAAGAGCCTGCAGAAGTTGACATCAGAGAACTGCTTCTAAAGGTCACCTCAACAGTTTTCTTATTTGCACTTAGCAGACATTGTTTATTTTATTATTATTGTGCTTATTCATCCAGGAAAAGCCTCACAAAGTCTCAAGACTAATTTTCAGAAGTGTACCAAGTTTTCGCAGCAGGAAGTGATGTTGCCATGGGTGATTCCAATTGAGTAATTTTCAGGATTTTTTTTAAGTGATTGAGATATTTGGCCAATAGCAATTGTGTTGAATGTTTTTGTTTAGCTATGGGAGGAAACCAGAGAACTCGGAGAAAACCCTTGCAGAAGAAAGGTAGAACATACAAACTCCACGTTGGAAGGCGCCCGAGAAGGGAATCGAATGAAGGCCCCCTTCTTGCTGTGAGCCACGAGCGAGCCTCACCCCTGCGTTAAAACTGCGCCACCCTGCCGCTCCATCATGTGGCCTCTCGTGTCCTCCGCAAAAAGAGTCGCAATCAGAATCATTATCGATGCTGGAGGAATACGATGAGCTATAAAAAGCAACCCAACCGAGACCACAAACACACTTCACTTGAGAAACCAGTTTAGTCACGGACTGCCAGGAATCAAAACACAGATTTCCATCTGGGCTGCGTCGACGCTCCAAGCACATCGGGAGCACCTCGTGCCAGTTCCCATTCGCACGGAGGCCACGCGGTCGGTGGGGAAGGATGTTCTCGAGACCAAACTCCCAAACATCCACGTGGCAGTGGGGAAAGCGTGGCCAGGGATGCTCACACAATGCATCGGCAGACATGAGCCAAAGGTGGAAATTCACCAAATTACATGGCAGGAGACCGGCTTCCATGGATGACTTTGCACAAGGTGGTACTAACTTTATTGATTGCGAATTGAACACCTATGACAACGTTGCAACCAGACCCATAGATATTAAAAGAGCGATATTGCACATTTTATTAATTCATTCTCTGAAATTATGGGTAGTCTCTGACAATTAAAATATTTTAAATCATCAAAGGTGTTCCCCGCATATCAGACAATGGAAGTACGGTGTTTATCCTTAACAGTCAGAGTGCTGCCTGGAGTGACTCACGCACCACATCACTCAGAGAGGGGCATCGCACACAGCACCACATCCCCACGGGGAAGCGTTATCAAAATAAACGCTGGCCTATTCCCATCGCAGAGTTGTGCAAAGCGCATTATTATCTATTACAAAGCCACTGGAGCTTATTAAGACGTCACTGGAGCTATGCATTTTCAAATCTAAATTGAAAACCAATTTCTTAAAAACTGTTTTTTGCGTTAAGTTTGCTGTCCTTCCTCCACACCTCCGATTTGCATGGCTGGCTACGTATGGTGTGAAAGAAGTTCAACATACATACGTACATTATTATTACCCAGGAAGGGAACATTGCGTCTCATTACTCTTTTTCAGGACATGTTCCGATTGCAGTTGGACCCCGATGAATGCTACGATCGATTGATTGATTCGCGGTGGCTTTTTTCCAAATTTGGACCACAACGCCGGCAAAAAATGGTCTACACCCCCTGCGAAAGACGCCACGGGGATCTTTAAGCATCCGCTGTGAAGTGGACGGCAAGCATTTCTGCACACACTACGACGCTCGGAGTGACGACCGAGGAGGGCGGCTGCTGGATTCGAATCGTGAAAACCCCTACCCGCGGTGAATTGCGTGGCCCGGTGGGCCCCTTGTCAACTCCTAAAAACCACACCCCGTCTCGAGGCCAGCAATTCGATGCACCGCGGGAGAAAATACGCAGAACTCCTCCGTTTCAACGACATCTAAATTGGAGGTCTTGAAACTCACAGGCTTTTTGCTGGTTGAAATAAATCATGAATAAATTCAATAGATACGTGGGGGAAGAGATGGGGAGCAGAGAAGGAACTCCTGTAAGAGGGAGGCATTGCCCAAATCGCTGTAAAATGTTGAGTTTAGTTTCATCATTTGTTGCAGCATGAGCAATACTCTCAATTAATCGATTAAAACGGATCATGAGAGTTGTAATCTTAACAGCTAACTAAAGCATTTGAATGACCTTCCATAGCCGAGAAAAAAACTTTATTGGGGACAAGTTGCTTTTTATCCTGTGCTCACTTTATAAATGGAAGTTTCTTAAGTGTGTGTGTGCCAACTTTGCACTCATGTGACCCTATCAATACCTCGCTCTGCCCATGACAGTCAGAGAAAGGAGTACAGTGTGCATCGCATGTAGCAAGTGTGAGCGAGTCTTCTTGGAGCACTCCCCTCACATCACGAGTGGCAGTCCTGGTCGAGGTTGACAAAGCCGTCCGCTCATTCTTCCAGTTGATTAAAAAATGTTGTACCACTCTGTGGAAACGTTCCACTCGCATCGACAACGGTGGATGCACTTTCGAGTGATTGGCCCCTGCGTGATGAAACGGGAACGTGAAATTGTATACCACTCGATAAGGGCCGTAAACCGAGATGAGCGCAGCCCTGTGCTCGCATGGGCTAGGAAACACCATAACTTCTTGAAGTTGAATTTCGATTTAAAGCTTTCGTGACTGCAAGGATTCATCTTCTTGGTTCTTTCGGTAAAGTCACGTAGAATGGGAACATATATCCTGCGACATTTCACTGGAAAAACACCTCTGTGGTACTAAACTCTACTCACCTGGTATCGACAATCAAAGGCATTTCCTTGTCCCCAGACGACCTGCTTGTCAGTTTTGATGTGGTGTCCTTGTTCACCAAAGTTCCAGTACCTGACACCATCGGAATCATTGAAGACTTGGTTCATCAAGGACTGCATACGGAGGTACCCCCCCTTGTGAGACATTGCTTAACCAACACATACTTCACCTGGAATGGAACTTTCTACAAACAGACTGATGGCACCCCAATGGGATCCCCCCTATCTCCAGTTGTAGCCAACGTGTTCATGGAAAAATTTGAAACTGACGCCATCCAGACTGCCACTCTACGCCCGACCCTGTGGAAGAGGTATGTGGATGACACCTTTGTCATCTGGCCACATGGCTGACCTGCTCTAGACAAATTCCTCGACCACATCAATTCCATACACCCAGCCATCAGATTTACCATGGAGGTCGAAAAAGATGGCAAGCTACCCTTTTTGGATGTCTTAATTAAAAAGAGACATGATGGTTCATTGAGCCACTCTGTCTACAGGAAAGCTACCCATACAGATGCTTACTTGAAACCGGATTCCCACCACCATCCATCCCAGAAGAACTCCCTCATCAAGACTCTATGCCATAGAGCCCAATGCATTTCCGACCAGGATCACATTGCCAGTGAACTCAAGCACGTACACCAAGCTCTCAAGGCTAATGGTTACTCAGACTACACAATCCGCAAAGCCATCACTCCAGTCATGAAGAAGGATCCTCTTGAGGAGCCATTCAAAACCATCACCTTACCCTACATTGCGGGGGTCACAAAAAAGACCTCCAAAATCCTGAATATACACAAGATCCAGGTTTGATTCAACACAGTACATAAAATCCGTGATCTGGTTCCATCTGTAAAGGATGCGGTTCCAGACATACAGTACCCGGGCATTTATAAACTAAAGTGCCTCTGTGGTAGCAGCTACATTGGAGAAACCAAATGACATATCTCGGACCGCATCCGCGAACATAAAGCAGACTTGAAACACGGTAGGACGAACTCCTCTGCCGTGGCAGATCACTCTTATAATTCAATGGGCTCAGATGACATTGACTTCTCCAAGATGGAGGTTCTTTGCAAGCCAACCGGCTACCATGAGAGATTCGTTCATGAGGCCATCCACATATACAAGCACAGATACAATTTCAACCTAGAAGATGGATTCTGGCTTAGTAACCATTGATTGTATTTTACGGTGACTTTCAGACCGCAGCCCTTTTGCTGGCACTGCCTCTTAATACTTCTCACACCATGGTCAATGGTATGGTTTATAACATGTAGTATAATTAATAGTATAACATTGTAATGTTTGACATAACTCATAAGGCAATATATCACATCGTAATTGCATCATTAATATACATCAGTGTGGTATATAGTTGGGTTCATAGAATAAGACAGTGTAATATCACAAGTCTAATAGTTTAT